TTTTTTTATTAACTTAAAGTAATTACAAAAATACATTTGTCCAACAAAGATCAATGGTCGGTACCTTACGAAAATCATTCTGTTGATTTGGAGAACTTTGAGAGTTCTAAAGATGTCACGATTACGTTTGCTAAAACAGCGTAACAATAGGAGAAAAAGGGATTTTGAACATGATTGATTGTTGATTACTAAACGTCCAGTTGCAAATATTTCTAGCATGTTGAAGACGAGAATAAATTCACAATAAATACAATAGGGTACGTAGGGGTCCTGTAATGGAGGCCGTCCGAGATGAAGATGGGCGTGGTTGAGTACATCGGACGCCCTACTTTGGCAAGGATTTTACGGTCGATCGAAAGAAGATCTAAGTGACCATATTTCTATTCCCCAGTCACACATGGGGTGATTTTGAAAATACATAGTTTGGACTGGTAACAACTGTTAAAATAACCTTGTCCACGACATGATGAAAATGAATATTTTGTCCTACAAAATGCAGGACTTTACAAGAAAAAGTTGTGTACAAAAAGTGGAAATAATTTTCGCGCTTATTATTTATCCTTTGATATTTATATCGTTAAGTTGGTGTCCTGCTGACGTATACCCCACTTCTTTTTTTCTTAATTACACCTTATGTAAGAATCCTGGGTTTTGATTGGTTGAAAGCCAGTGCATTTTTCACCAATTTACTGTTATCAAATGAATATAGTTCAATTTTTAACGCCGCCGGGGTATATGCAAAAAGGATATGCCTTTTTTACCCTCTCTGCCGTGGTATTTGCCAAAAAAATACTCTATCCGACTGGACGCTTGTAACGTCACGATTATCAATGCGTTTTTGAACGTTAACATTCGGTGTAATTAAACAGATATAGCATGTTCTTGAGGGGTATTTGCGAAAAATACCAGTCTTGAGAATGAATTTCCCTCGCCTTACGGCTCGCGAAACTTAACATTCTCTCGACTTGTATTTTTCGCAAATACCCCTCATTAACATGATATATCTGTTCAATATCTTCCTGAATACGCCTTGTATTCAGAAATTAAGTTTTTAATCAAAAACAGTGTCACCACTTCACTATATAGTTTAACTTATATATCAATTTAATTAATTTGCTTACTAGTGTGAATCCGGAGGATTGCAAAAAACAATACTACTGTTTATGTAAATTTTCGGAAAATATAAATGTATACATATAATCGAAGTTTTGATTGAAGACGATAAGCGAGGCTTGTCGAGCGTTTCTCTGGTTTCGTAGCGAGAACATATAAATTGTATATGTTCCGATAATGTCTTTTTTGTTGTTAGGGATGTATAAATACCCTGCCACGTCCGGTCTGTGTTTTTGTTATATTTTTGTCTGCTTTATATCGATCTGATGAGTTAAGCCCTTTTCAACTGATTTCTATTGTTTGGTTTCATGTTGTGCTGTAACACCACTGTCCCAGGTTAGGAGAGGTTTGAGCTTGCAAACATGCTTGACCCCGCCACATTCTTTATGTGCCTGTCCCAAGTCAGGAGCCTGTTGTTCAGTGTTTGTCTTTGGTTCATGTCTGTCATTTTTATTTTTCGTAATTTTTGTGTTATAAATTAGGCTGTTAGTTTTCTCAATTGAATTGTCTCATATTTTTCATGTCGGGGCCTTTTATAGCCGACTATACGGTATGTTTTTTTTCTTCATTGTTGAAGGCCGTACGGTTGCCTATAGTTGCTTACATCCTCTTCATTTGAACTTGTCAATCATACCACATCTCCTTATTTTTATAATGAGCATACAATTTTTTTCCCTGCAATTTAACTCGACACTTTAAGTTAACTTTTTTAGTTCCAAATCGTTGTCATTGAATTTTACACAAACAATAAAACAAAAACAAACACAAAACAAAAACATAAAACAAAAACAAAACCAAAAACAAAATGATATCATAGAAATGTTTTATTGTCATGAATCTTAAAGATTTATGACAAAATTGGCATAATTCACAATAAACAAAGAGAATACAAGAATAAGTTCTTCAGTTTTCATGCCTATTTACAGGTAATAAAGGACACTAAACCTTCTACTCCCTCTGAGGTTGATTGACAGAAGATATTCAAGTTTTCATCTTTCTGCCATGTATTAAACTCTGATATATTTTGAAATACTTTTAAAAAAGTCACCTATATATAAGCATAGTAAACTGTGGAGTTCTGAACTATAGCTTGTATATACTGCTCTGTTTGATGAAGTGTTTTTTGTTCCCAGATTTATTATTACAGAAATACACTCATGTCAAATGTAATATATTTCGAAGCATGATTTATCTGAGAAGGTATAAAGGTCTATATATTTATTTGATATCTTTGCGCATTGTTCTGCTCCATATTTGAGTGTATCCATATGTTAGTGATTTTTTAATTGTAGATGGCTATTGGTTTAACTATAATAAAGTAATAAAGGTTGCTCGCTAGCCTACTATAAACTGGCAGATTATTGAGAAATACAAAAAATGTTAATTTTAATAGCAAACATATTATATAGTATATCAATTTCCTTGCTTTATTTACCAGTTCTTCATAACTACGAACTAAATACCCATTATTTCTAATAATTATTCTAAGAAATGAATATTCTAAAACTGTTTACATTTGTTCATTTTTCATCTTTGTCTTGCTTCGAAGAAGTGGAAAAATCAAGACTTTGAACCCCTCATGTTAGGTCAAAGATATTTGATATGCAGTTGTATACGAATTTGCAATTCTAATTTAAATGAAGATTATATGGCCCTGCCTCTTCATTGACTTTGAAAATTTGCATCGTCTACATGTTTAAGTATGTGTTTTATAGTTTAGTTTTAAGGTAACCACTTACTTTGTATGATAAGTCAACAGTATTTGGTATTCAATTTTATAATCATTGGCATTGGCATCCTTCATTTCCATGGAGGTTATGTGGCCCTGCACATTCAGTCATGGTTGAACTTCATTGACTTTGAATGTTTTGCATAGTTTACATGTTTAAATATTTATTGCCATTTTATTTTAACGTCTTAAAAAATGCTTTGTTTACTACAATGATGTAATATATGTTCCCTATTGGAATTTTGAAACAAGCATTTTATTTTCAACATTTACATTATACTTTCAAACCTACAGAACGCGAGACATGTCTCTGTGTCAACAGTTTATTATAGTTTGCAAATGATGATTACATTTTTCTTTCTTGTTGTTAAAGAATCATTGTTTTAGGCTTAATAATATTTAAAGGCATTTGCCACTGACTGCAACAGTTTTCATGATTGTTCAGACTATTTTTTCGACCTTCTTTAATTTCATATACTATTAACAAGTCATCAGAAAATTGGAGAGATGAAGTAATTAGTTTCGGAGGAAAATACTTTTCGTTGAAAAATCTATATGAAAACAAAATAATCTGTTTGGCATTGAAAACAAATATTATTGATTTTCTTTATTGAAATGTCATAATCGACAGAAGCAATCTTTTTAATTACATCTATATAAAGCCTGCAACTCATTAACATTTAAACAGTAGTTGTATTTTGTAAATGTCGATAACCTAATTTTTTTTTCAGAATGAGCAATATTTTTGGTGAAAAAGTAGATATAAAGGAAAATTTATGAATACAGAATAATAATATACGACTTACAGAATAGAGAATAATGGCTAAAATAAAGAAAAGAGAAAAAGGGGCAAAATGAATTAAGAATAGAGAATAATGGGGTGCTGAAATATCAAGAATAATTGTGTAAAAATAAAGAATAAGGTTAAAAATACTGATTACAGATTTACTGAAATAAATGTTCAACAGAATAACGAAACTGTGCGTTTTCTGCACATACAACTTTTTATTGATAATTGACAATAGACTAGTATATCATTTGGAATAATATTAAAAAAAATGTCGAAAGATTGTAATTGGAACTGTTTCATTGCTTAGCCATGTCAATTCTATACATTTGTAAGCATCTGTATTTTCCCTCCTCTTTTACGATCTTGCACGAATCAAAACATCTCGTTTTATCATTTCGTCCGCTATTGCTGACGAAGTTATTCCTACATCCCTCTCCTGTATTATGTCAGCAATGATTACATAATTACAACACCGATAAAACAGTTCGTGACTGGACTGAGTTAAGACCAGGATAACCATTGACAACAAAAATAAATGTAATAGTAGAAGGGGGTTGCAGAGACAAAACGTCTCTTTCACTGGCATGATTCCTCCTTCTTCAGTTTTAATAAATAAAAAAAGCAAAAAAATAACAAAAACTGCAAAATTCCTCACTTACTGTGGTATTAAAAGATCTACCATGACCATTTTCTTCATACTGGCGTCATATTTGTAAGATCCATAATTCTTTACAATTCAAAACGACAATTTATTGGAAAGACTGATGCGGCTCGTGGACAGATGATATTGTCTTGGATACTTAGGGGGGGGGGGGGGTTATGTTTTGTTATTTGCAACAACAGTAAAACGCTGGTACAAGTATTTGATCGTATTTGTAGAAGTCGTATAAAGCATATGGCATCATATATCACTAAGTCTCGTAAGTCTAATTCAGCTCTCTAGTTATTAGCGTTAATTTGTCCCTTGTTTGCAATTGTTCCTATTTATTGTTCTTTTTTTTTTTTCATTTCTGTTCTTCTGGACTGACGCTTTGATTTTTATCTTTTCTTTATCTAATCATTGTTAATATATAACTTCCATTGCTTCTGACTGACTTTTTTTTTGGAGTATTCGCCATATCCCAACTTTGAACATCATAATCGTATGCCCCCACCCCCTTTGAAAAAAAATTGCATATATTTTTCTGAATAGCGGAAAATAGCTTAAAAAATAAAGAATAAAGAAATGAGGACCCACTCCCCAATCTAGACCCTCATACAATAACTCAACCAAATAATCAACCTAATATTATCAATGTGATCTGTCGACTATTGATTTATAAATAAGTATCCGTTTACAAAGTTCGTTATTACGTAAGCAAAGCTAAATTTAGACATAACAACTCAAGGACAAAATAAGTGTGCATACATGAGTTGTCTAGTTCATAAATAACTGAGCTGATAACTATAATGACTGGACCTAACAAGTACTTGAATCGGGGCGAATGGACTTGATATGAGATATCAATGGTAAGAATTTTTACGATTCTTGTACGATTCATTATAAATGTAGACTAAGACATTCCGTCATGAAGCCATACCTTTAAAAGTCTACTAGAATACATCAATATTATTATTATAATTTTCTATAATAATTTTCTTTATTGCTTCTTTAAACATGTTAAAATTTTGATATTCATAAATCGGCGAAAAAAAAATTGCGTTTTTTAAAACATCAATTCAGCAAATAATCCTTAAAATTCAAAGTTGAATGTAAATTACATTCTAGATTTTCTAGTTTCACTTTCGATTGATCGATCTTCCAGAAATTCATTTTAAAATCCGACTATCATGACTCTAATAGTATTATGATTATCAACAGGCTTTTCTTTAGTAAATACATATTGTTTATAAACTGCAGCTGAAAATGGCCACACTTCTGGTCAATGTTAACACACCAGAAAACAAAGAAAAGTAACGTGACATGTTTATCTGCTGGGGAGGGGGGCGTATATATGTATATTAAAAAAAAAACAACAAAAAAAAAAAAACAAATGGACGCAAATTTACACGGACCTTTTGACCCATTTAACAAAATTTGCTGACTCAACGTATTGATCATTTATGCACACAACCTCACATTTGATAAGGGAAAAGTCATGTGATTTAACAAATATTTTTGTTATACGTCCTTCCTATTTCGTACCATCCTGTAATTTAAAAAGAAATAGGATGAAAACACGAAATCATCAAATGCTTTAAAATTTATTTAGAAAATATATATCATCATTGATTAATCTACAACAAATGGACATATAAGAAGGATTATTAATTCATTTTGGTATCTTTAATAAAAAAGCAAACAGATGAAACCCATAAATATTACAAAAACAAATGCTGCCCGCATGTTTTCTTTTTAAATTAGGACATTGTAAGGGAGTTACCATTTGATGATTTTTATGGGGGTGCTAGGATGAAAAATTTTGTCCTGCATTTTTTTTTAAATTGTAATCCCTGTCCTGCCTTATTATTTTTCACTCTATTCGGTCCTGCCTTTTTTTTATTAGTTTATCCTGACTTTTCTTACATAAATTGTCATCCTGCCTTTTTTTTTGTCAAGTGGCTCATCCTGCCTTTTTTTTTTTTACTCAGAACACCTGTCCTGCCTTTTTTTTCAAATTTCATCCTAGCCCCCCCCCCCCCCCCCTATAAAAATCAAATGGTGGCTCCCTAAGGCAATACACAATACAATTGAAGGGGGGCAGGGGGTCTGGACCCCCCTTATGGAGCTTCCTATATGAAAAATACATTCCCCTTTTTTAAAATCCATGATTCCTCCCCCTATTCCCGTTCCATCCTCCTGTTTGCGTAACATAGGGTTTAAATCAGATTTGATTTCGATAGTAAATGATGTAGCAGATAATGCCAGATTTGTATTTCTTTGAACCCTCATGCTAGAACCTTAGGAAATGCACTTCGGAACGTTCAGTTTTCGAGATTTTATAGATTGTTTCAAACTCTCTCGCACGCAACCCGCTACCGCCAAGCACAATTCCGCGCCAGGTGGATACATTTATGTCAAACTTTCCCGCTTTGCTAGCGTGCTGTGATCGTATCATATATGTTGTTATGAAACTATATGATGAAATCAGCACTAATACGAATAAATCAGCGTGTGCAATACTGATGACATTACCATTATGATTATGATATTAATACAATTTTTCGGCATTATTACCTCTGATTCCAGTATTCCATCGACTCAAGCTGTCGTCCAAGATACATGTAAAGATTGATTGATTGATGTTTACTAAACATCAACTTGGGTTTAGCCAGGATACTAATTTCTGGTTGCAAATGCCTTACATCTCACCAATCTTTAGTTGAAGCGTCATTACACACCAGAAATCCCGATCCAACCGCGGAGGGCACGGATCGATATCCGAATCCCGAGCAGCAATTAATGAAATGTTTGTAACGGTGGATAGGTAAAATCTGGATCTGATTCCCACGGAGCATAATTCCTCTGTGGGAATCGGATCCATATTTTACCAACCCATCGTTACAAACTTTTTATAATTGTTCCGCGGATTTCGGATCGGGATACCCGGTGTGATATATATTTTTATGATATTTCGTTAATTTAATTTACCTTGAAAGGTTTTTAAAGTCCCTTGTTTTATGACCACTTCAAAAAGGGATATCTATAGTCTTTCCGTGTTACATTTTGAGCTCACCTAGACTTTGTGAGCTTTTCTCATCACTGTCATGCGTCGTCCGTCGTCGTCGTCGTCTGTAAACTTTTACAAAAATCTTCTCTGAAACTACAGGACTAGGCCAAATTAAACCCAACTTGGCCACAATCGTCTTTGGGGTATCTAGTTTAAAAATGTGTCCCATAACCCCGCCTACAGACCAATATGGCCAACATGGCCAAAAATAGAACAAAGAGGTAAAATGCAAGTTTTATCTTATCTTGAAAACCGCTTTGAATAGATAAAATATGACAGGGACAGAAATGTTCACAATGTTGAGATCTACCTACTGTATATTTACGTCGAAACTGTCAGACGGGTTATTGTCCTTAAATGACGAAGTATACCTATTTTTTTTCATTTTTGCCTATTATCTTGAAAACTATAATAATTAGAGAGAAACTTTAGATATAAAAAATGAACAGCACGACCAGTTCTACAAATATGTCGAATGTTTGAAATCGTGAGCCGACTCCTTATTGGAGTTATTGCTCTTTAATGGCTATTTCTACCATTTGTTTGCGTTTTTGTCTAATATCTTAAAATCTATATTAGATAGAGGGAAACTGTAAAAGCTAAATTGATCAACAAGACAAAATCTACAAATAAATCAATCTGGCTGAATTCGTAAGTCGATTCTTCATTTGAGTTGTTGCTCTATTATAACGATTTTTACCATTTTTTTTTATTTTCGCCTATTCTATTGAAAATTATAGAAGATAGATAGACGCCAAAAATAACAAAAATGATCAGTAAGACAAGATCTACAAATACGATAAATTTTGCCTAAATCGTATGCTGACTCCATATAGGAGTTCCTGCACTTAAGTGATGATTTTTTACCTTTTTTTTTGTTTTAGGCGTTAACTAAACACGCCAAAGAAGATAAAAAAAAAATGAGTTTTAATATAGGTGTTTTTTCATTTTCAATTCTATTGAATTAATCGCACATTTATGGATTTCAGAAAATCAACATGACCGTTCACATCTTACATCTAGAAATTGACAATCAGGGTTGGTTGAGAGTAAAACAATACGACAAAAGAGATGATTTCAGCTTCCCAATTGTTAACAATCCATTTTTTGTAGCAATATTCCAGTAGCGCCTGCATATGGAGTGTATATATTCCAGTTGATACATGTACGATATTCTATAGTTTGCAATTCCTATCATGATTTCCTTGATAGAGGGTTGCTCACCCGGAAGCTATCAAACCAAGAATTCCAATTTGTGAAGTTGAAATCATTTCTTCGAAGATTTTACGGACCCGATTACGAGTTGGTTGACCGTTATGGAATATCTATTTCACAGATGACGACGGATATTTTCCAAATGTCGTAACCACAATCCCGTCTTTTTTTCTAGAATGTGACCTACCGAATTAGACATATGACCGGGTTTGTTATTACACGAGCAACATGGCGGGTGCCACATGTGGACCAAGATCTGATTACCCTTCCAGATTTTTTCGGTGGGGTTCGTATTGCTCAGTCTTCAGTTTCCTGTGTTCCCGTGTTTTGTGTTTTGTGTACTGTTGTTTGTCTTTTGATAGTTTTTCGTTTAAGCTATGGCATTGTTAGTTTGTTTTCGACTGAAAACTGAGTTGGAATGTCCCTTTGGTATCGTTCGTCTCTCTTTAGTAAATTGTTCATGTTTTTGTACAATTTGGCATAGAAAGATGTCCACTACCAAAACGATGTATGTTGTTTCTGAAAGGTAATTAATAGAATTACTTCAAATAAAACTTTGACTTTTTTTGTATTCATCATGTTTGTTATATGTATCTCTCTGGTCCTATCTTGTCCTCGGAGGTTACAAAAAATATGCTTGTTTTCAATAGTCATACATCAATACAACCTTTTCTCTTATGCCCCAATTTGGCACTGGTCCTTGACATTTAGATTTGTTTTGTATTTAAAAAAAAACAACAGTGAACTTCAATTTAACCCCAGTTCCTAATTAAAATGTGCATGATTTAATCAATGTAAATAATAAATTCAAAACTTGCATTAATGTTAAATTCGACGAGTTAACATGAACCAAACGGTAAAAAGAGAAAGATTACAACACTCTTATGCGTAGGATTCCCTTTGTGATTGCTAACTTGAGTAATTATATGCATACGACTAAATCATTTCACATAACAAATGAAAGTCTTTGGTAAAGTTAATTTTAAGGAACACTTTAAGTTAAAATAGTTTGGGCAAACGGACCCACTTGAAATTGACGATTCAGTGTAATCGCACATTTTTCTACGATACACTTTTGTATTAAAAAGAATTACCTATTGTAGCATATACATGTACGATAAAACAATTTAAACAAAACAATAAAATTACTTTGTTCTACCTTGCTTTGTTTAAAAGTAAAAACGTTGTTGGTATGTTATTTCCAGAACGTCCATGAAAGAAGATTTTTTAGATTAAAACTATAACCAGATTATGCTACAATGGCTACAGCGAGTAGTTCTGGAGTGTCCCATAAGACCCACTATGCACGTCTAGGACACGCTTCACAGCTTCTCATACCAAATATGCTGAAAGAGGTTTTGGACCATTTTATACCACCAAACACTATCTATAAAACAGTTAGTAAATGTAACAAATTAAACAACCGATTGAAACCTGGTGAATGGGCAAAGATAAGAGATGCCGCTACTAAAGGCTATAGCGAGTTCGACATTTCTCTAATATACACCATTTTGCGAAATCTCTATCCAAACATTCAACCTTCAAGTGGATGGAATCATCCCAATGATCCAATGCCTCACGAGGTATCACTTGGAGATGACATGGAACGATGTCGAAGAAGCCGAAATCATATCTTACACAGAGGAAATACAACAGTAACTGATACAGAGATAGATGATATTTTTACTGACTTTAAACTGATTGCAGAAAGGTTAGAAGTTCTTCTTGGTAAGCAAAACAGAGAGTTTTCTTCACAGTTTGAAAATTTGAGAACATGTTGCATGGATGAGAATACAGAAAGAATGTATTTAGACCAGCTTCGTGAACTTATGGAGAAAGAAAAAGACACACTTGAATCAATACAGGCTTTAGAAGAAAAGGGAACACACACTGAAGAGCGAGTATTACAAGTTGAACATGAATTACAATCTCTGAAAGGTAAGTAACCCATTTAAAATTAATTTCATATCATGGTAATCGTGTACAAATCATGAAGAAACTATTGATTACTTCTCTATTGATTATTTCTCTATTTTTCTTTTTAATTTATGGTAATTTTACATATTATTGATTTGTATTTGCGCCACATCAAACTTTCTATTATTTGAAATCGCCAAATAAATGTTAACGTATCTATTTTTATCTGACCAAACTACTGATTGATATGAATGTCACGATTTGTCGTTTTTTTTTTGCTCTTTGGTCGGGTTGTTGTCTCTTGACACTTACGCCGTTTCCATTCTCTATTCTATATAAATAAACTCATCATAGATATACCAGGCTTCAAATTTTGTACACCAGACGTGCGTTTCGTCCACAAAAGACTCATCAGGGGGGGCTCGATTCAAACGAGTTAAAACGGCAAAATTTTACAAGGAGTTTACACTTTAGAAATCTTGTTTACATGCTGTCACTTAATAATCTATCATTTTTCTTGGCAAGCTTTATGTTTGATATTGAGTTTACGTATCCAAAGCAATGCATTACAATAAGCTCAAGATCGGATATGAAATACACTGATTAATTTGAATTTAAGTAATATTTTGTCCAGTCGAGTATTCTGCATACATGTTTGTATACTAAAGATGAGGAATTTATTAAAAGTTTTGATTGCAAAGCATATACGGTATGTCATTTCAAAATTCATTTTGATTTCGCTACTTTCTCATTAAATCGGAAGAACATATGGTCGCTGCACACTAATTGTAAATAAAGGAAAAGCATCAGGGAATTACAAATTGATTTATTAATCTGTTTTTACTTTGAAAAATGCTAAACATTTGTTTATTTATACATAATTATATGTTTTTATTTACAGATACAGTGCAGTCATTAAATACATCACAGGATGATCAAATTCGTAAGTTTAATCCTTGAAAAAAATATATATCACGTTCACTATTAACATTATCAAAGTTATCATGGACACATATTGTTGCAAATTTAATTACAGCGGCTCTTGTCAAAATGACACGAGTAAGGGAACAACCTCAACACTTGAAAACCAGAACAGAAATGGTTGTCGACAACACATTTGTCGAATTTAGTAGGTCGATATTCCAACAAATAGTGGAAAACTTAAGTAGGTAGATATGTTCTGTCAAATCAAGGACGTTTTGCTATTGTATTATCAAGAAGCAGAAACTATAAACAATATTCTTTAGGACTAAAAGGAGAAACAATCTAGCAACTCTTTCATTCAAAACCCTTTTAAAATGATGGTGGCATGTCTAAATGTTTCATTTAATAGGAAAATAAGAAGGTGTGGCAGGATTGCCAATGAGACAACTCTCCACCAGAGACCAAATTATGTAGAATTTAACAAATCTAGGTCACCGTACGGCATTTAACAAAAAGCAAAACCCCTACCTCATAATCAGCTATAATAACCCTAAAATGACAAATAAAAAACAATTCAAACGAGATAACTAACGGCCTGATTTATGTACAAAACAATAAAAGAAAAACAAATATTATACACAGAAACATAAGACAACCACTGAATTACAGGCTCCTGACTTGGGATAGGCACATACAGAATGTGTCGGGGTTAGACATGTTTGCTGGCTCCAAACCCTCTCCATAACCTCCATAACAGTGGTGTGACGGAACAACATAAGAACCATCTAGAAAAGCCTGTTGAAAAGGTTTTAACTAATCAGATCGATACAAAGCACGAAACAACTTACAAACGACACGAAGTAGATCTGACAGTACTCGCTGTTACCGAAAGCTAGTTCAAAGCCAATAACAACTATTACAAAAATCATGTATTTAAGACTGAACATTATGTATCTGAGACTAAACATTATGTATCTAAGACTAAAATACGTGTAATAATCTTCCTTTTTATTTCCTGTATTTCATGAATGTCTGTTTAATATCTTGGTATTTTTTTGAAAATTCACATTGATGATAAAACTAAGTTCAATTGCAAACAAGATAATGTCAATTTTCCTGTTGTCTACTACCAATTTTGGCGAATTACCCTCTTGCATATCCTTTTTACCAATGTTATGAGGAAGACGAATGCAAATCACATTTATACGTTCGATTCTGAATTAGTTTTTTTACTTGCAAGCGAAATTTAACAAACTTTTTGATATTAATACCTGCGTTGTTATCTTGCTGCTTTTGGTACTTAATACTGTAGGGAGATGGGAAACGTTGAGATAGACACGATAGAGTTTTCGAATACTTTGCCAGAATGTTGTTTTTGTCATGCGTTTTAAAAAATATTGTAAAATTCATAGGTCACGCAGCTATCTTTCTGGCTAATTACCAGATTTTGTATAAATTTTACATGTAAAAACAAACATTTTTTGCCAATAGAATCAAACCTTTACGACAGAAGTATAAAGTAAAGTTAGTCTTATAATTTGCATTAAGAATCGAAAAGGGAAAAATGGGAGCAAAAGACTCGAATTGAATTTAATTAATATTGTTTTATTTACAATCCTATTGGTAAGATTAACATATTAAATCAGACCTAAACAAATATTGAATTTTAGGAAAAACAGTGGTAATACATTGATTAGGCCTCATCAAATTAATTACCAGTTCGTTCTACTCCTACTGTTGAAAAAGAGGAGCGAGCGAGCAATATGTGATCTTAAATTTATTCTTTATGCTTTTTTTTCCAAAATTAAATTTTCAGAGGCGAAATAATTATTCTTCTAGTGAGGGACAAGTTTTTGATTAATTTTAAAACAAAATGAATGGAAAGAATTATATTCAAGTGAGCGGCATTGTTTTTCCAATATTTTATTTCTTTAATGAATGGATATTTTTTCAAGCAAACGGTAAAAGAACTTGGACATTATTTTTGCTTTATAGTTAAATACTTTTTGTATGTTTTTTGTTGTGCAATTACTGATTTTGTGTCATGGATGGATACCCCATATCCTTTGTTTTTCTATTATATGTCTATATGGCTTAGTTCAATTGAAAGGGCGCTCATGTCATTTCATTACTCGAAACTAATATGTCATCTCGTAACGATCGACAAAAATAGACACGTAAATTGAAAGAGTTATTTTATTTGCAATTGAAGCCAAATCCTTCCTTCAGTTGAAAAAAAAAATGTAAAGGAAATACCATGTTTTGTATCAGGAGGAAAGACGGGCAAGATCATGGTAATTTAATAAAAGTCAAACGACAAACAACAGTCTACATTTTATGGGTGCGGTCCTAACCTGTACACAAGTTAACTTAAAGCAGTCCTTACGACTGCTCTATAGGTTAACTTGGGAAAATTTTAGCAGACCTGTGAGTTAACTTTATCCCTAGCAGACCAGACCTCATGTCTGCTTTTTTAAGACTGCTGCAGACCAGACCTAAGGACAAGTTAGCTAGAGCAGACCTGTTTCCAGGACAGATCAGCTCGACCAGACCAGACCTGTGAACAGGTCTGCTTGACCAGACCAGACCTGAGGACAGGTCTGCTTGACCGGACCAGACCAGACCTGTGGACAGGTCTGCTTGACCAGACCAGACCTGAGGACAGGTCTGCTTGACCAGACCAGACCTGTGGACAGGTCTGCTTGACCAGACCAGACCAGTGGACATGTCTGCTTGAACAGGCCAGACCAGTGGACAGGTCTGCTTGACCAGACCAGACCTGTGGAAAGGTCTGCTTGACCGGACCAGACCTGTGGACAAGTTTAGTATTTAACAGAGCAGTCCTGTCAATCATGGGGACAGGTCTGCTTTTAAATCGGTTCAATTGATATTCTTTACCACGTTGATACAAACAATAAAAGCAGTCCTGTTTACAAGTTAACTTTGGATCATGTTAACTTTATCTTGGAAGAGCAGACCAGACCAAAGTTAACTTGGGAACAAGTTAACTTTATCTTAGAGGAGCAAACCAGACCAAAGTTAACTTTGGATCATGTTAACTTTATCATGGACCAATCCAAAGTTAACTTTTATAAGAACAGGTCTGGTTTGACTTTTGATAGCAGACCTGGTCATAAGTTAACTTGTGTGTAGGACTGCTTGTGGCAAAGTTAACTTCGTCCAAAGTTAACTTCAATTCTGGACATGGACCTGTCCTGAAGTTAACTTTTCGGGCAATCATTAAACAGTCCAAGGACCAAGTCTGCTTTTTAAGTTAACACAAATTCTGTCCTAGGACCTGTCACAGCAGTCATAAAACCGATCCTATGTTAACTTTAACCAGTCATAAAGTCTGCTTATTAAGTTAACTAGCTGTACAGGTTAGGACTGCACCCATCTGTACATTCAAGTAAAATATATCACAACATGTAGACACATTTGCAGTTTAATGTCTAATTGTAAAATATTCCTTTTGAAGTTGTATTTCGAGAGCCGTTGGAAGACAAGACCTGTTTCGAAGGCGACACAGTCAGCCTGGAATGTGTAATAGAAGGAGGGAAAAAACCAAGCAAGTGGTATAAGGATGAAAATGCCGTACGCGTATTGTCAGATAATTTTCGCGATGAATCTAAAGACCAAACCTATAAACTGACCATTCTTCATGCTACAAGAGAAGATGCAGGGGTTTACAAAATATTGATTGGCAATACAAGTAAAAATGTTCGATTAAATGTAATAGGTAAGAATATGAATAATGCAGGTCAAATTAAATAATCAGTCAATAAATCAAAAGAACAAAATTTTTTTATTAGATACATTAGCATTGTACTTTACAAAATATTTTCTGAAAAAAGCAATTGGTAATACATATTATAATTCAACGATTTCCTTTTACGTTTCTCATGTTTTGAATGATATAGAAGTAATCACAACTGCCTCACATGAACAACATTGAAAACTTTGATGAATATACAACATATATTGCCAATTGTGTTTTACGTATATTTTGATGAAAATTAATAATAATTTGTCAAACTTTATGTTTTACTGCTTCACTGTGTTTCTGAGTATATTTTAGGTCGACATAATTGAAAAAAACATCCTGAAAACACTAGCACTATGCCAGCAATGATATATAAATAAGGTGACTTATTTTCTATACGCATTATTATCAGCGTATTTTGGGGCTAGTTACATCATATATATAATATAGATTGGTGTTTCTTTTCTAGAAAGACCACCATCATTAGTAGAACTCCGTAGTTACCAACAAGAATTAGCAGAAATTGCTCTAAAAGGAGAAAATACAATCATTTGCGCTGGAACAAATGCTGGGAAAACGTATGTGGCTTTCCATGTAATAGAGAGTCATTTGTTAAAAAATCAAAGAGGTATGTTTTTGATGTTGTATGGGACACAAGAGGAAACGTCTTATATAAAAAAAAATACAAAAAATGTCTCTAAAACACATCTCCAATGAACTACAAACTGACATCCATAACATTCACATTACCTGACTCATTCGTTGGGGATTGTCGTTTCTGAAATTGTTTTCTTTATGCAAGCAAATGTGTTTCGTAGCCAAAAATAAATCATGATTAAATATAATATTAAAGAAAATGTGATGTGAATCGCAATATGAGACAACTTTTCACAAGAAACCACATGATGTAGAGGTAACCAACTTAAGGTCCCCGTACGGCCATCAACAATGAGCAAAACCTAACCGTATAGAAAGTTATTAAAGGTGCCGAAATGACAAAATGTAAAAGATTTCATTCGAACAAAAACCAATCAACACAAATTATTGAAATCAGGCTTCTGACTTGAGACATGTACATATAAAATTTGGCGTGGTTAACATGTTAGCTCAAACCTCCCCTTAACCTTTGTCAGTGGTTTTACAGCATATCACAAGAAAATACTATAAAAATCAGTTGAAAAAGACTTGACTCATTCGATCGACACAGATAACAAAAAGCTAAAAAAAAACCCAACTAAATGCCCAAAGTAACAATCTAAGAGTACTCGCAGTTCATCAAAGTGAGTTCATAGCCAATAACAACTAAAATCGAAAGTACATACCAAAAAGGTTAAGTGTAAAAACAACATAAACGGTCTGAGAAAAAAAAAAACATGCCTATGTGTAATGCAAAAATAAAAGTATTCACATTAATTATGACCGTACATTTTCAAATCTGTATGAGAGTCAATATTCAGTTTTGTTTTAATTTGTAACAACAAAAGCAATTTAAGTATCGATCAGAACCATATTCAAAGATCTTATTACAGTATTGAATTGATAACCTTTTAGAATAAGTTTATTTGAAGGATAGTTAAACAAGCATTTACTGTATCTCAATTTACGGGCTATATAAACAACATCATCGTAAAATTTGCCGAGGGTGCAAGACTCTCATGGGTAGTCAATGTGGTTAAAAACTCCCCTCGTCGTCGTCAGTAAAAGTTGGATGCAATATCCAGTTTGAAATAACTTGTACATTAAAGTCTTTTGTCTACATGGTCTATGAGAGAATTTTTTGCCATGGCATTGTCCGTTTGCTATCGACTTGAAATATCGATCGATATGTCGCATCTCTTTTACTGAGCCCAAGGGTGACTGGGGAATAGAAATATGGTCACTTTAGGTCTTCTTCCGACCAGCAGTAAAACCCTTGCCAAAGTGGGGCTTCCGTTTGACTGTGCAGGATGTATCAGTACACAGCCACGTCCGGTCAGAATGGAGACGTTAAATCCGATGCCTCGTATAGAGAGAATCACACTCACGTTAAGAACCATTGCAACAACTCTTTTATTGTTAATTTGTGCTCGTCCTGAACATGCATGAAATATTAGCCACTGGACGTTAATCAACCAACAATCAATCATTCAATATTTACTGAATTTTGCCAGGCACTTTTATTCATGTTTATGCATGAAAAAAAAAACGCTATTAAAGGGGTGCAATAGGAATAGCTTCAACCTGTCGATAGACTTGATGGCTAAAACGTGTATCAATGTTTTCAGTGAAATCAGTTTTACATTTACAACTTAAATCATCTCATCACACTGCCAGTAGGTCAATCTAGCACATTAATCATTTGCATTACTGAAGAAGGCTTTGAATGATGTGGCGCACTTAAATTTGCAGTCTGATTTTTCAACAAAACAATTTAATTGAAAAAAAAATATTTTGGTTGATAAGACATGATAAAAAGACATTAATGAAGTCTTATAAAAAATGAAAATATAGATAAAATTGTGCTTGAATGGACTACAAAACCTGCGTCAACAGTGAAAGCTTAATATTGAAATACCTTAGTAATGTGCAAATGGAACCAAACGTGATAAAAATAATCATCGTTAGATAATTTGATTTATATAGCATTAATTTATAAATATACAATTTATCTGTAGGAAAAGTTGTGTTCATAAACAAGACAAATGTTCTACTGGGACAGCAGTACAAAAGGGCATGTGATACTTTTACAACACTTCACTTTCAGGTATATGTTGATAGATCTACAGTCGTTAAGCTTACAAAATAATTTAGCAACATAACGTTCTTTCGGTTTTTTCCGTCATGACATGTAAAACTAATAACCAGTCAAGTTCGGTGCGATATGTGTACTGACTTCTAAGTTTATACTAAAGAAGACTTTATTAAACAGGACATTCGCCTGAACATCAATTAAGCAAAGGGAGCACCGTCTATAAATAGTTGCTTGTTTAGTATTCATTTCAACTAACTCGAGAGACCAAATTGAATGTTCATCCGAAAGCTCTGAATCATATGCACTTTATTATCAACTTCAAACAAATGTCATTTCATTTTTATGTTGGTAAAGCCGAGTATGATATCTATAACATCACGAATGGTGTGCCATGGTTTTTACAGTACATACATTTTACTACTAATTATAGAATTTAGATATTTTAATGCAAACAAAGAGCATAACCATCATTTATAAATTAGCAAAAAAAAAAAAACAAGAATAACTGACCCTACAGTTTTCTTATTCGTTAATAGCAGTTGACTTAAAATTCTCAATGTATTCAACTTTTGTATGAGCAAGTTTCAATTTCATGAGCCCACTTGTTCCAAATATACTATCTATATAAGAATGATACAATTTGAGCCCTATCTTTATATAACAAATACGTATAGTGATGTATGGTTTATTTATTATATTTTAAAGGCTTTTTTTTATTCAAATCTGCTTCAGGATAATAAAGATAACTATATTTCATAGATATTTTTTCTAGCGTATATATAATTGTAGAGCAACCGTCATTAAAATAAATGAATATTAGATGACATAGTCACCTATATATTTTAGTCCTTGATACATGATTTTTATTAGTTGTTATCGGCTTTGAACTAGCTGTCAGTAACTGCGAGTACTCTGAAATCTGTACTTGGCGTCTTTTTTTGTGGTTAGGGATGAGGGATGGATATATAGTACCCTGACAGCGTCTTTTATGTTGCTAGGGATGAGGAATGGATACATATTACCCTGACACGTCTGGTCTGTAATTTTGTTTGACGTTTTTCTTTGTATTGATCTGATGAGTTAAGTCTTTTTCAACTGGTTTTATAGTTTGTTTACTTATGTTGTGCTGTAACTTAACTGTCCCAGGTTAGGGGAGGGTTGAGAGCTCTCTCAAGTATGTTTAACCCGGCCACATTCCTTATGTGTCTGTCTCAAGTCAGGAGCTTGTAGTTCTGTGGTTGTCGTTGGTTCAGGTCTGTCTTGAATAAGTTCGTTAATTTTCTCAATTGAATTGTTCAATGTCGGATAGTTGTCTTATTTGCAATCATTCCACATCTCCTTATTTTTACATAACAGATCAGAGATAACCAAACATTTATATTAGTTGATAACCTAGATGATGATAACCTTGACATTGTCTTATATATTGTTTGGCAAATTTATCTTGATATTGATTGCCAGATTTAAAATGAAGAAAATATCACTATTTAAAAGTAACTACAATAGATAGTGGTATATATTTGTATGCATTTTTCCTCATATGAGTACAAAAAGGATGCTGATCAGTTGGAGGTATGCAATAAGTACCCATTAGATTAATAACTACCTGTTGAAATATCAATCACCAAACTCAGCAAACATGTTTTCGATTGAAATGTCAATCATTCATGTATAATAGACAATCAAAGAAATCGCACACTTACACTGAAATATTCAGAGACCACGTACACTGATAACACCACATAGTGCAGAATTGTACAGTCAAACGATATGGGACGCATCTTTGTGATAATCATATTGAGAACCATTATGAACGACTGCATTTATCGTAGAATATGGACTACGGGTGGAAATCTTGTTGTGCGAATATTAAACCATTTTTTCTTATTACTCCCCTACCGACGAAGTCGAAGGGGGCTATAGGTTTGCACTCCGTCCGTCCGTCTGTCTGTCTGTCTGTCCGTCTGTCCATGCGTCAGTACGGCAAATCAGTTTTCCACACTTTTTTCTTCGTCCTTGAAGATATTGATTTGATATTTGGTGTTTTGTTTTATCATGACAAGTTACAGATCAAGTTCGAATATTGTTCCGATCGGATGATTTTGTGCAGAGTTATGGTCCTTGGACATAGAAAATTCACATAAACAATCCGTTTTCCACACTTGTTTTCGTCATGACTGAAGATATTGACTTGATATTTGTTATATATAAGTTTGCATTTTCCACCAGTACAATGAATTTCTAACCGGTAGGGGACTATGTATTGCTATGCAATACTCTTAGAATGCTTGTTTGTATTCGAAATTGATGTTTGCATAACGGTCTTTCCTTTTAACCAAACTTAGAGAACAGTTTTGTCCTTAACTAAGAAAAGGGTGTTTTCTTTTAGGGTAAAATTAAGATATGGAGAGCTGATGAAGACGATAGTGAGAATTTTGAAACAGAAATTGCCAATGCCAGGTTGATATTTTTGACACCTAAATCCCTATGCAACCACTTGATAGAGACTGCAGCAAATAAAGTGTCAATGGATCTTTTTACCTTGATCATTCTTGACGAATGCCATCATACACATGATAAAAGTGTGTACAACGAATTAATGTCGTATTATAGGATAGAGAAATATAGAGAAAAGGCACATCGACTTCCTCAGGTACATATATATATATTGCAGTTCGATTAGAATTCTGCCCTATATGTTGAATTAATTCTGAGTTCACTGTACACCTTTAGTACAATTCTTCTCTGTCATTGTACTAAATAAAACTGAAATGCGTAAGACTATCATATCAGCGACTAACTAAAGGATCTTTTTTTGCATATGCAATAGTTGACAATAGAAAACCTATATTATAAAGAGCACAGGTTCAATAATTCGTACAGAAATTGATGAAATGGTCACCTAATTATTATTATATGAAAAAAAATATAGAAAACTAAGTAGATTCTATATGTCCCCTGAAACACACAAAAAAAAAGAAAATAGTTGTGATTAATTATTATATCTTGGACTCAATATAAATATATAAGTGACATCCACAATTTTAGAAATTCCAAATGTTAAAAGAGGGGCCTGTTGTTCAGTGGTTGTCGTTTGTTGGTGTGGTTCATAAGTGTTTCTCGTTTCTCGTTTTTTATATAGATTAGACCGTTGTTTTTCCTGTTTGAATTGATTTACTCTAGTTATTTTAGTGATCAGTATGCTAGTGTTTCTTATTGACAACATATTTGTTGAATTTGGAGGTAGAGTTTTTCAACAAATTGTCGGCATTCCTATGGGAACGAACTGTGCGCCTCTCCTTACCGACCTCTTTTTATTTTCATATGAATCGGAGTTCCTTCAGACACTTGTCAAAAACAAGAAGATCAAAGAAGCCAGGTTATTTGATTTCACTTTCAGATATATTGATGATGTTCTTTCCATTAACAATCCGAACTTTTCTGATTGGGTTCCATTAATATATCCACCAGAACTAGAAATTAAAGAAACAACAGACACAGCTTCCTCCGCCTCATTTTTAGACTTATACCTCGAATTTGACATACACAGTCATCTTAGTACCAGAATCTATGACAAACGAGACGATTTTAATTTTGAAATTATCAATTTCCCCCACCTTAGTAGCAATATACCAACTTCACCTGCATATGGGATATACATTTCCCAACTTATTCGGTATTCAAGAGCTTGCAGCTCCTACTCAGACTTTGTAAAACGTCACCAGTGTCTGAGCAGAAAGTTGATGAACCAGGGGTATGTCAAAGAACGTCTCGTCCTTTTTCTAAAAAAAAGTTCATCAGAAGGTACCAAAACCTTGTTGATAAATATTCGGTATCAACTTCACAAATAATACACGATGGTCTTGAAGTATAGATTCTGCGTACTGATGTTGTTTATCATGTTAATAACATGTTATAGTATTCTTTTATTTGTCTTTATTAATATTACTTTTACTGTTAAGTCTGTTTTTTGAGATATCCATTTGACGTGACTCTGTTCTAATGTATCCCGTCATACTTTGAACGACAAAATTATTTTATTTATTAATATTACTTTTACTGTGAACTTAAGTCTGTTTTTTGTGATATACATTTGACGTGACTCTGTACTTATGTATCCCGTCATACTTTGTACCACAATATTATTTTATGCATTAATATTACTTTTACTGTTAAGTCTGTTTTTTTGTGATATCCATTTTACGTGACTCTATACTTATGTATCCCGTCATACTTTGAACGACAAAATTATTTTATGTCTACCTGTGCGAATTTCAAACGCCCGATTTTACGCCAGTACTTTAAACCTTCCATCCTTTAGGGGTGCATTTTACATAGATAAATAAAATCGTATAAAAATAAAGCAAAATGAGGATGTTAAATTTGATGTATGCCTTTTTGTGCTTCTTCGTTACATTTGTGTGTTTTAATAGTGATTAAGATGATAACACAATGTTGACTGCTGTACCCCTATTTTTGACATTTTTATCTATTGTGTCTGTTTGTTTTGTTCACACATCGTTGTCAATATAATGGAATTTGATGCGACCGTCATACAAGTGAGAGGTTTAGCTAGCTGTAAAACCAGGTTCAATCCACCTTTTTCTACATAAAAAAATGCCTGTACCAAATCAGGAATATGACAGTTGTTATCCATTCGTTTGATGTATTTGAGCTTTAGATTTTGCCATATGATAAGGGACTTTACCTTTTGAATGTTCCTCGGAGTTCAGTATTTGTGTGATTTTACTTTTTAGGGTCTTCTATAGTTTGCTGTTCGGTGTGAGCCAAGTCGCCGTGTTAAAGGCCGTACTTTGACCTATAATTGTTTACTTTTTACACATTGTGACTTGGATGGAGAGTTGTCTCATTGGTACTCATACCACATCTTCTTATTTATATTTGAATGGCAAATGGAACCAAATGTGATATAACACAATATTATATTTTGCAACAAACTATAATTGCATACAATATACTCCATACCATTCCCCATACATCATACACTATACACCAGTACATCATGAGGAAAACAACCATTTAATATTTATCCGTATGCATGTCATGTTTTTGAAGATACTTGGACTAACAGCATCACCAGGTACAAACAAGGCTAAAGATTTGTCGTCTGCAAAGGATCATTTGAGGAAAGTGATGGCAAATTTAGATGTGACTAAATTGTCCGTTGTTCAGCGCCACAAAGAAGAACTGCTTCAATATACGTCTATTCCAGAAAAAGGTAGGTTGGAATTTAAGCTTTGATTTTGCACCTCTTCAAACATTGTCAAATTTGAATTGATTTGTCAGCTAAACTGTTTTTGGGGCAACGATCAGTTATTGAACATATTATTAGCGTGGTCAATAATAAATTGCTTTAAGAAATTTCAAATTCAACAAAAAAATCAAAACGATGTTTATCATTTTTTTATTATTCAAAGTATCAGATTGAATGAATATGCCAAGATTTAATCTGTATTCTTTATTAATAAAATTTATTTCATACAAACATGGTACCATGGTGAGACCTTTTGACTTACTAAACAATAACAAAGAGACTTCAAATATAATAAATACATAATTGAATCATTGTGAAATTGAAATCTAATATTTTAGTCGATGCAAGTATTTCTCACCTCTTAATATTCACAGTTCACCTGCTCATTTTGTATGCAGGTAGAGGTAAGCTCTAAGGTTTACTTTTTTGCAGTTCCTATTGCATCAACTACCAGAAAACTCGATCCTTTGAAAGATATACTATTTGGGGCTATGGAATATGTTGAAAATAAATTGAACTCTCGGATTGGTAAGACAATATACTATTTTGATATATGTTTCTCCCATAACTATTGAGATAATCCAAATATTGATTGTGTGGCATATTTTTGTTTTTTGATTGTTTACTTTTGATCTTCCTATTTTCATCTAGAATCAATTGAGCAGCGTAAATATTCTTGAATGAAGTAATTATATCGTTTTACATGTACATGTTACCTTAGTTGCTAATTCCAGAATTACAAACCAAGAACATATTAAACCCAATAGTTTGGAGAGACGAAGAGTTTTCAATACATCTACAAATTCAAAAACAATGAAGGATTACATTCCAATGGGTGCTTCAAATTTAGATGTTAAAATATGTATTAATTAAAATAAAGAATATCAACATGAGAATATGTCAGAATAATGTCGGTACATTGATATAAGTTTTCTGTCTTGTTTACCTTTTAGTAATTGAAAATAATATACGAACGCTTTTGTTATCTTCGTTCTGTATCTTACTTCATATTGCTACATTTTATTCATAATGTTAGACTATATTGCAATATTAACTTGTAGGGAAAGAAATTAAACAAAACACAATAGTAATATTAAAAATCGGTCTTTATTTTGCGCTTGTTAGAACTATTTGAAACCAAAAATCGTTATGATTTGTTTTACGAGCTTATTAAATTTGTGATTACAAAGATTTATCTATACAATTCTGTTTTTTAGTTTCAAATTTTTTGACTGAAAATCTACTCAATAATAGGGACTTATATGAAGCATTAGGTAATCCACCAGTACAAAGAACGGATGTACGGTACATACAGTGGATCGGAGAAACGAAAGAAAAAGTGGAGCATGTACTACATAAAGATACAAAAGTACCACGATTGCTTCACGCATGTCTCAGACATCTAGAGGTATATCTATTGATTGTTGATATGAATGACGTTGCTTATTTCGATAATCCAACCTAATAAATCATATCACTTTTTATTTGGGATTCACGTTAAACTGATGAAATTTGATGTGTGAAACGTAAAATATTTATAAATATATTTGATAACCAAAGGAGTATGAGCATTAAGGCCTGAATTTGGCGCAACAACATAAAGTGATTTTATTCCTCGGTGTATTTTTCATGAAACTTCGTGAGTAGCAAAGGGAAACAAATAATTCAAGAGAAGCTTAATTATAACTATTGAGATAATCGCACAAGCATAGAGTTGTTTCTTGGGTGTGCATATACTTTTCAAATCCGACATAGACTTAAAAATTTATCGACAACAGGGATAGTCAAGAAATTATACCAAATATAGACATTTCGTCGTGGTTTGTTGCCATGGTTACTTGTTTAATCAGAAGTTTATGTTTATTTTCTGAACACTTTGTATCTTAAAACAAATCTAAGAAAATGTCTGATAACTTTCCAATTTGCACTACTTTTTGTGGCAAATAAGGGCCGTATTGTTTGTTCTTCTGAAATAAGACATATTAAATATTCAAACAATGATAATGTCTACAGGACTATGAATTTATAAAATAGTTATTATTGAAATAATAGGGTTTTTAAATTTTAGCTTTATACAGAATGTTTGGAAATTAATTCATTGCTTGAAATTGATCAAGTTCGTGAAATTGTCATGCAGCGATATGCGGATGAATCTTTTGCAAGTCAGAATGCTAATACAAGTGAAGAAAGAGAAATCGTATCCAAGCTACGAGGTAAAATATACATTAGATATACACCAATATTCACTGTAATATATAACCACATGACATCAAATACTTTTCCGCGCATAAACATGCCTGTATGTCAATTTTTGTAGATGAATCGTGTGATTGTTGGTTTTATTTGAGAAGTCTTTTGTATTGTTATATAAAGAAGAAGATGTGGTATGATTCCCAATGAGACAACTCTTCACAAGAGACCAAATGACACAGAAATTAACAGCTATAGGTCACCGCACGGCCGTCAACAATGAGCATAGCCCATACCGCATAGTCAGCTATAAACGGCCCCGAAATCACGAATGTAAAACACTTCAAACGAGAAAACTAACCGCCTAATTAATGTACAAAAAATGAACGAAAAACAAATATGTAACACAGCAACAAACGACAACCACTGAATCATTGGCTCCTGACTTGGGACAGGCACATATATACAGAATGAGGCGGGGTTGAACATGTTAACGGGATCCCAACCCTCCCCCTAACCTGGGACAGTGGTGTAACAGTACAACATAAAAATGAACTATAAAAATCAGTTGAAAAAGGCTTAACTCATCAGATGGAAACAAATTAGTTCTTTACAACAATTTTTACGCACTATTACGTAATAGATAAAGTAATTAAAACTCCAATTGCTGTTGCATCCTATCTTTTATAGTAAAAATATTTAAAAGATAGAAATCTCTGCATTGAACAAGAAAAAGGAAAAGAACAGTGTTGTTGCAACTTTTCTACATCGTTTACACATAGTTAAATCATTGGCATTATGGGTATACTTCAAACAATTAAAAGTTGCAAGAAGTTTAAGAAAACTCCTAAAATGTAAAGGATATGAAAATTTATATTTTGAAAACCGATTCCAAAAAAATTTAAAAATTGTTTGCTATTTCCAAATTTTTGTCATTAAATTAAAAACCTCAAACGAGAAGTCATTTGGTCATTTTCTTATTTTTTGTCATATGTGTATGAACTTGAAAATATTCATATAAAATGAGGAGATGTAGTATGATTGCAAATGAGACAACTGTCCACCAAAGTTCAAATGAAGTGGATGTAAGCAGTTATAGGCAACCGTACATTTGTTTTCATAAAATGATACATCACTGATAACTTGTTTGTTTTTTAAACATATTGTTTAAAAGTTTCATTTACTTCTCGAAAGACGTGTTTGCTGAAATTCGAGAAATTGGAAGAAACATCGAAGGTAATCCTGATGTAAAAAATGTTATTGAAAGGATCGAAAACGAATACCAACTACTAAAGGAAGATTCCAGATTTATTATATTTGTAAAAACCAGAGCAACAGCGAAAGCATTAGCCGAAAGACTTCCAAGTTATCTACGTAGCACTCATCTAACTGGTTCTCACAAATCTGTAGAGGAAGGAGGTAATTACCTTTTATCGTATACAGACGAATTATATGTTTGATAAAAGGTCCCAGCTCGCAGCAAATTTTCAATCCTTTTATAATGGGATTGTCAAATCAAAACACATAGTTTTGACTTCGAAGTCATGTGAATTAAATTGTGATATACATTTTCACGTGTTTATTCTGGGCTTCTGTTGCTGAACTATAACTCGTCATGGTCCCACCATATATTACAAATTAATACGATTAATTGTAATGTTCTTTTTGCTTATCCATTGAGTGTAAATATTTACAAGCTATTCAAACTTTACATTCCGAATACAATAAGATAGAATTATTTGAATTGTGATTTGAAAAAAATTTATGCGCCAGCTAGCACCATAGTAATAATGATAATCATTCAACAACCACGGCTTTTTGGTGGGGTTTGTGTTGCTAAGTCTATATTGCTATATAACGTGTTATAGTATTCTTTTATTTGTCTTTATGAATATTACTTTTACTGTTTAGTCTGTTTTTGGTGATATCCATATGACGTGGCTCTGTACTTATACATCCCGTCATTGTGTTATTGTTCTATGATAATTTTTGTATTCTTGTCTTTCAATTTTTGCTAATATGCTTTGTCTATATGCTTGTTTGTGTCTCTTTGTTACATATGACGTGGCTCTGTACTTATTCATCCCGTCTTTGTGTTATTGTGCCATTGTAAATTTTTGTATTCTTGTCTTTCATTTTTGCTAATGTGCTTCGTCTATATGCCTTTTTGTGCTTCTTTGTTACATATTTGTTTGTTTTAATAGTGATTAAGATTATGATTATAACACAATGTTGACTGCTGTACCCCTATTTTTGACATTTTTACCTATTATGTCTGTTTGTTTTGTTCACACATCGTTGTCAATATAATGGAATTGTATGCGACTGTCATACAAGGGAGTGATTTAGCAAGCTATACAACCAGGTTTAATCCACTATTTTCTACATAAGAAAATATCTGTACCAAGTCAGGAATATGACAGTTGTTGTCCGTTCGTTTGATTTGTTTGAGCTTTTGATTTTGCCATTTGATTAGGGACTTTCCGTTTTGAATTTTCCTCGGAGTTCAGTATTTTTGTGATTTTACTTTTTGCTACTGTTCTATGTTAGGTTCTGTAGATTGTTGATTGTTAGTCCCTTTTTCGATATTTGCAATTTCGTTGTTAGTTCGTCCTCGACTTATGAGTTTGCAGATCCCTTTTGTATCTTTCATCTCCTTCTTTTCCATTGCATTATTGTTATCGGAAATTTTCTAACAATATATATATATATATAATATGCATTTCAACTTATTATTTAATTTTGCCTGCGAACTCTTTTAATTCGCCAATGATGAATGTTACGTAGACGAAATTCGCCTACAGCGTACCAAAAAGGCTTGTATCTTTGATGAGATTTTTTAAATTAAAGATTTATATTGACTCTAACATTCTTTAGGTTTATATATTTACATTTCTACGTATAGTTAAACAACTATTTACAGTATACATACGTTTTCTCAAGATGTAATTCCACTGCAGTTTATTAGAACGTCTTGTGCAACATAAAATTCGATGGTGGAAACACATGTAACAGTTTTGAACATTTGTTTTGAACGCTGAATGTTGTCAAAAATACAAAGACATTTAAACGTGTCATTGAACTGTTTTACCTGGCACATCATTTGTTTTGAACTTATTTGAGTTCTACATCATTTTAAGTTTTGTAGTAGTTTAAACTTACAGTTACCCTATCAACTTTCTTAAACTGTAAAAAAAAAAGATGCGATGTTTGAGTATGTTATTATATAACACAAAATCCATTGTTTTTTTTTAATAAGAATGATTTTAACAGATTTTTAATCATTGTACGTTCCTTATTAAATATGTGTTGTTCAAGTTCATTAGAAACTATTTCATCGACCAACAATGAAAGTAGCAATTGATACATATGTTCTTAAATATTAGGTCTTCCTGCTCACGAACAGATAGACGTGTTGGAGAAGTTTAGAAATGGCGAACATTTGTGCATTGTTGCAACATCAGTAGGATGTGAGGGACTCGATGTTCCGCAATGTAATATGATGATCCGATATAGATTCAGTGCAGATGAAATAAGCAGCTTGCAAATGCGAGGTATGTATTGTTCTATTTATGTGTCTGCTTCTTCTACTTGGCGTATTATGTAAAAACAGGAATACAAGCTTTGATTTATTATTTAATTTATTGATATGCTATTCTCAAAAACACAATTCAAAACTAATTAATTATGATAATTAAGATTTTCAGATTTATTGACAGAACCTTACATTGTATCAATAAGGACTAATTGATTAAAGGAATTTTACAATTTATCATTTAAAACATTTATTATTTATTGTGCCCTTGTACTTTATATCATCAGCAGTGCAAATGATGTACGTGTTTATGAGTTTAAACTTTTGTGGTCTAAAAGTATTATTATCTATTCTAGACTAAGTGTTAATTATGGAGAAGACTTCATGAGTATTATTTACTTGTGTCTAATCCATTTTGCTTAAATTGAACAAATAAAATATGTTTCAATTAACTCTATGCTAGTGCAGTTCAACTGGTGTTTGGTTGAGGATATTAAACATATTACCCAGCTAATGATATGAAAATTGTAAATAAATGGATCACAAATTTTCTACTTGTCAAATAAATTTGTTTGCCACATATGTTGATGCTACTGTACCTCTGTCACTTATTGTTTTTTAAGTTAGGATATTTGAAATATAAAGTTTACTGTATTAAGCCAATTTCCCAATGATATACACGGTTTGTCAGGTATCATCCATCAATGAAATATCGCGTAATAATTTCGTGTGTCTGAGGCACTTTTCTGAATTTACCTTCATATACATGTATGGGATGGATAATCTATTGTGATGTCAGTTTGAAAACTTTAAAACAGAGTATCGTTTTGGGTTTAATGGGTACAAGTCTTCAAAAACATAGAGTTTAATTCAGTGTCAAATTCAATGTCATACAATGTATGTCGAAAAAGGCAAAACAAACCGTGGCCGAAGGATTGTAGAGGTGTTGAACAGGGTTAACGTATCGTGTGAATGAGGGGAACTGGAACCGGGATAAGAGGTGGAATAAAAATAGGGATATGTTGGGGAAAACAATTTGACCGATTTCGTCTGCGAGTAAGGGGGTATAGAATTTGGAGTAGGGGGAGGAAGTTGGGAGATGAAGGGAGGGAAATAGGATTTAGGGATAGGGAAATTGAAATCAGGGACCACCTGTTTACCGCCTCATAGCAGAGCAACCAATATTCAGTCAACTAACCACTACAAATCAAAATTAAGTTGCAAAACAGAATCTTATAAAAACAGATAAGAACAAATAAAACAACAACATATTACAGATAATTATCAGATAGTTCCTACTCCACCGGTGTCACCATCTTGTTGTTGTTCCGAAAAACTAAAAATACACATTATATATTGAAATAAATCAATAAAACTTGTAATTTATAGGAAGAGTACGCAAAAGGGAAGGACGAGAGGTCATAGTTGGCACTACACAGGAATTTGAGACTGAAAAGAAAAACATCCAGAGACAGTATCTAATGACACAAGCCATAGACGAAGTATCCAAACTTAATATCACTAGAGATATAGCTATAGCAGAGAAAATGGTATATGACATTGAAGAAATTGAAAGAAGGAGCGCAAATATGAAGCTAGGTCAAAAAAGAAGGGGGCTATTTACTATCAATTGTAAATACTGTGGCGTTGTCATTACCGATGGCGACCTAATGCGACAAGTAAATGAGAAATTATTCTTAGTGTGTGACAGGTCAATGTTAGCCAGAGTTGATAGGAGGCAAATACCTAAAAAGAAACAAAGAGAATTTGATGGTTGTAAGAAGCTCGGTAAAGCATACGGGCTAGAGTGTGGACATAACTGGGGTTCAATAATTATCTACAAGGAGTGTGAATTTGTTGCGTTGTCACAAGACTATGTCAAAATATTTGACCGTCAAGCAGACTCATTCATAAACTGTGAGAAATGGTATGATTTGAAATTTAAAATAGAAGAGATATCTGATGAAGACTTTATGAATTACAATAGATAGATTGATTCAAACAGTACTTTCTTGAAGAATTGCAATTTTAAAACTTGTATCTAGGAATCCAATAATTTGACCATGATTTTATTTGCTGTTTCGTCCGAAACACATAATTTCAAACATTTGTTACCAAAACTAAAATATCAAAAGATAAAAGCATCTTTGTATAACAACATGGCTGACTACTGTTTAATATATATAACACATAGAAAATAATAAAACAAATACAAAAAAGTGACGCCCCTTTTCTTTAAACAATGAACATATAAGTTTAAACTCTTAAAAAAAACCTTAGTTTTTTTTAAAGCTTATTTGGATTTCAGAACATCATTTGTTGATACATAATTAAATATATTGCTATATTATTGATGACTGATTGTTTTTGTTTTTTTATTGTGCGTTTCATTTTACGACCTATTGTGTAACTAAGGAAAATAAAAGGTTCGCAAAGTGTGCGGGTTCAACTGGTTGAACTTTATGTATTTTTCTCAGTACAGTCTAGTGTTTGACGTTTGAGTGTATGTTTTTCCGTCTAACGTTTTTAGTAATTCCCTCAAAAATATAAAAATAATGTAATCCATAATTCGAAAATACGGATTGTGTATTAGTATAAATTATTAATGGGTCATGATTGACTGATTACTTTGTCAAAAAATGATTTACCTAAATTTTGAAATAAAACGCTTCTGTGTGGTCCGTGTTTATTTGTGTTCATTTTTTTCCTCTTTACAAATCAAAATCAATAAACAGGGAAACAACATAAAAACATGTAAAATAAAAAGTGTTTTCGTGTTCCGTTTTAATACATTGAAACAAAAAAAAAATAATAGAAAATACCCAAGACATTTGGATCAATTTTTCCTTTCGATGCTGAGTGTCTGTCATTAAAAATGTTGATAATGAGTCTTTTTCGTTCGTCTCCTTTAATTTATTTTTTTCTCTTTTTTTTTATTACTTCATGTAAACATTTATATTGATATACAAATATTTATATACAATATAATACACGCATAGTCAAGAAACAAGGATCAAGTACAAACTGTCATATATCATCTGTTATTTTTTATTTTTTTTTTTGTAATTTCTCTATTTTGTCAATTTCATATACTATATTTAAGTAGTGTCTCTGCAAAATTTTAACAAAAATTATGAAGACATTTTTCTTTAATTTCGATGACTATAAATCAGAACTTATTAGCTTTTTGCTTGACGAACTCTCCGAATGGAAAAGAGAAATTGAATACGATTATCGTTCAGCATGCACCCTTAACTTTTACTCTAATAGTGGTCTATTTTTAACCCATCCCTTAAAAAAACCTTATTAATTTAAAATTAGTTAATTGACTTGATTCTATTCACTAATGTCGTTGGTGTAAATTTATGAATCGTCATCATTAAAGGGATATTTCAATTCATGTACTAAAAATGCATAACACAATTCGCTCGCTATTGTTTCGAAACCTTCAAGATTTAAACTACTACGTGTAAAGTTTATTTAATGGATTGTTGTTAGTCCATTGTAACAGCGAATAAGAGGTTGTTCGTTTGGCTGACTGATAGCCATCGAGATTAAAGATTTTTAGAGTCTTTTTCTTCCGTCTCGTTTATCTTCGTTCGTTTTTCATAGTTTTTCTTATATATAACTTTACGTAATCATTTACATCTTTATTTATACTGTCTGTACACATTGGAGGTTTAGCTAGTTCGAAAACCAAGTTTAACCAACCATTTCTTCGGAAAATGCCTGTACCAAGTCAGGAATATGACAAATGATTTTCATTTGTTCCGTTGATAGAAAAACGTTGTTTTCGTCAGTTTTTATGGGCGTTCCCTTTTTTAATTTACCTTCGAGTTCGGTATTTTAGTTATATTTTTAGTCCCCTACCGACAAAGTCGAGGGGGACTTAAGGTTTGATCTCCGTCCGCCCGTCTGTTTGTCTGTCTGTCCATCCGTCAGTCCGGCAAATCAGTTTTCCTCATTTCTTCGTGCTTGAAGATATTGATTTGATATTCGATAAATTGTTTTATCATGACAAGTTACAGATCAAGTTCGAATTTTGTACTGGTCTGATAATTTTGTGCAGAGTTATGGTCCTTGTACTTAGAAAATTCACTTAAATAATCAGTTTTCCACACTTTTTGTCATCATGCTTGAAGATATTGACTTGATATTTGTTATATAGTTTACACCATGACAAGTTATAGATCAAGTTAGCATATTGTTCCAGAACAATTCATTTTTAACCGGTAGGGCACTATGTATTGCCATGCAATACTCTCAGAATGCTTGTTTTAACCAGAAATCTTATCATTTATCGGCAGAAAATTCAGGTTTGACAATTGAATCAGAAAAAGACAAAATAGAACAGCTATTCATACTGCCATGCAAAAACAGTGATGAGGTATCAATTTGATGATAGAAAAATAGACTAAAGATTTCCTTCCTAATTCGTAACTGTAAAACACCATCTGATAGTGTTACTGCATCTGGCAAATTTGAGATAATGCCCCTATTCCTGTATTATCAACACAAATGGCCTTTTTAAAAACAAGAGAACCGATACAGTAATTATGTATTACTTATATGTAAATTAGATATAGTCGTCTCATATCTTCGTAGCTGACGATACTCAGGTATGAGAAGACTACATCTCTTACGTAACATATTAATATACATAGCAAAGAAACAAAATTAAACTGCAGCGAGCAGTTGATATTTTTATGTTACCTAATGTATACTAATGGTAAGGTTGACGTGACTGTGTGTTAGTAGTGAGTGAAAGTGTGAGTAGCCTTTTTTCGGTAACTGTATGCTTGTATAATATATATTAGTTTAAAATACAAAATAGAAAGTCATGTATATATTTTTCAATGTTAACCCCCCAAAAACCATAGTCAGGTGGTCATTGATTGGATATTGTGAATTCCTAACTACTGAAAACAAACAAAAGATAAAAGAAAAGAAATAATGATGAAATACAAACTGTCATACATCATCAGTTGTGGCCACATTTGTTTTTTTTTAATGTTTACC